GTGGGCGGTGCCCTGCAGCGCATGGTGGGTAAGGGTGCTGCAGGCAGGGGTGCCCACCCGGGGTGCGGAGGGGTGTGTGAGTCCATTTTGTGGTTGCAGCGAGTGGTACTACGCCCGCAGCCCCTTCCTGAGCCCCCAGCGCCGGGCAGAGATCCTGGGCAGCCTCTATGAGCTGGACGGCGTCACCTTCCACCTCGCCCTGCACAGGGCTGACCTGGACATCGCCTGGCCCATGTTCTCTGAGTAAGCCTGGGGACACGGGGGGGGCGCTGGGAGTACTGGGAGCAGTGGGGATGCCAGGGGCATCGGGGGCACCGGGAACACTGGAGGCTCAGCATCGCAGAGCAGCACATGGGTTTCCCCCTGCCACCCCGGACTCCACATGGTACCCCAGCTGTGCCAGCCCTCCATGCGTGGCCCCAGGCTGGCGCAGACACCCACGCCAGCACGCACGCCATGCCCGTGCCCGCAAACATGCCACGCGTGCGTGCCCGCACACACCCTGCTGTCCTCTGCCAAGCACGTGCCCAGGCACAGGTCTGCAGCAATGCCGTGACACCGTGACATCTTAGACGCGGGCGCACGCGTGTGCGTGCACACCCTTGCCCCCGGGCACACTTGCAGTGGGGCACTGGTGGACGCAGCCGCTCCGGCACATCCACGCCTGCTCTGCTGCTCGCACGCTCGCGTGCACACGCTGCCACAAGCACATACGCAGCCCCCAGTTCCTCCCTGCCACTGCCATGGGGGTCTCCGGGTGCCACCTGCTCTGCGGGTGTTTGGGCTGATGGCACTAGCCTCCCTGGTCCCTTGGCACTAGCCTCCCAGGTCCCTCGTCACCAAGTGCCACCAGCCCTGCTGCCCTCTCCATCCCCAAAGGCTGACCGTGCCCAGGGAGCCCTGTGGGGAGGGTGGCAGTGCCTGGCTCACCCTGGGGGTGACCTGGCAGCCCTGAGCGCCATGTCCCCTCTAGGACACTGGTACGGCCCAGCCTGGTGGCCAGGAGCAGCCCAGCAAAGACAGCCCTGCAGACAGGCAATACCAACACCGGGGCGCAGGGATGGCCCGATGGCATCGCCTGTCCCATTGCAGCACCCAAAGGAGTGCCAGCCCGCCCGTGCCCACCCGCCTTGGCTGCTCCACGGGCGGGGGGTGTAGAGGTGGAGGAGGAGGATGTGGAGGTGAAGAAGGACGTGGAAGAGGAGGATGAAGAAGAAGAAGAGGAGGAGGATAATGAGGAGGAGGTGGAGGGTGTGGAGGTAGATGGGGAGGAGGATGTGGAGGTGAAGAAGGACATGGAAGAGGAGGATGAAGAAGAAGAAGAGGAGGAGGATAATGAGGAGGAGGAGGTGGAGGGTGTGGAGGTAGATGGGGAGGAGGACGTGGAGGTGGAGGACATGGCAGAGGAAGAGGAAGAGTTGTTGGAGGAGGATGAGAAGGAGACGGAGGATGTGGAGGAGCTGGAGGACACACACAGCACTGGCAAAGTGCCCCAGCCAGATGGTGACGGGGAACCTGGCATGTCCCTGCCGCCCGGCACAGGGTGCATGCCAGGCTCCTCGCCGCCGGTCGGGCAGCTG